GTTCTCTTTCTCGCACGACAAAGCCTTTTGTTCATTTTTAATAGTTATGCGATCAAGATAATTGTCGAGTGAAAAGCACTTTTTTCCATACGTTTGTTGAACCAATTACGTGGTGTTTGGTATGTTTTTATCGTACGTCAGTAAGACTGAGAAGTGTGTCAAAAGTCCCAAATTTGGGACGCGTACCAGAGCGTAGGACTTCAGCATTCAAAAATGGAGTTTGACTCCCGCACTTTGATCAATCAACCCTTCGGTACCATCCAGTGGTACCCGAACTGGAAATGTCGAAAAGTTGAGCTCACGTGTTTTACTGCCACCTCGCCAGAACTCGCAGTAAAACAACGGCAGTGTGATCTGCCAGAGAATGTGACTAAAGACGGGTTCGTACTTCCCGCGAAGTTACACGGCGTCAAGGCTGGTTCATACTTCAGGCGAATGCGACAGCGATCTCAGAATTGGACGTCACGAGATGCAGTGAACTTTCGCTGGAGTTGAAATGTGTTCAACTTTTGAGAATTCGTAGAGCGAATGTTTGATTTGACGTCACAAATTTGCGTTCGTTTTCTCTTTCTCTCGAAGTATGAACCGGCCTCTATACGAATTTGTTTGTTAAAGTATTTCCCTGTAAAGTACATTAATCAGTTGAATGGAACTGCACTGACTTGTGTATACAGAAACTCTTGAATTATTCATATCTTAAAAATCGCCCATGACAGCTCTATGACTCAAGTCACAAGGGTGACATTACTGGAGGATAGAAAAGACAAAGGCAAATGATCGTTTTAACAAGGTGCAAAGAAAACGCTTATTATGCGGTACGCGAGGTGAACAAGTCAAGTGGCCTCATAATGTGATTACCATCGTGGGAAAAACTGTAATTACACCACGGAACAGGACAATCAGGTCAACAATCACGCCAGATTTCGCGGGTTTCAGTACTGGCGGGCTTTCGAGACAGTGATCACGAACTGTATTCTTTTCTGCATTGTACAAATTGTACAACTACAACGAACTTTAACCTGATATTCCACTCGTACTGATATCACCGCATGTCCTTGACATCTGGCCTTTTGATACCCGGGAGTTGTTGGCATTCAAATTTCAAGGTTAATGCACATTAGCACTCTCATTGCGGGCCCGCGACCATTTTTATCAGACAACCTTTGAGTTGTAGGAGATCATTGTAAATGGGTTCAGATTTTTTGTCTCCAGGAACCGACTGGAAAAAAAATGGGACGAGAACATTTCGACAGGAGTGTGTTACACTAGAATACCCGTGGACGTTGAGCATAACGGGATGATTCGATTTGATCCGAAAAAGCATCGCATTCAAGAATTGCCTGTGCAAAAGAATTCGCATTGCGAGTCATGTGCTCTGAAAAATCGCGGCACAGCCCATGAAGTCATACTTAAACAACTGCGAAATCATTTTAGGAAAAACGATGTCGTGAAAAGAACTTTGCAGTTTTGCAGACCACCATCACCACCCCCACACACCTTGCCGTACACCTTCGGTGTGGGCTTGCGCTTCACCGGAACCCATATTATACACTTCTCTACGGATTCGCTTGTCCTCAGCAGCGCCCTTACAGGGCGCCGGAGTCAGCTTCTTTCCTCAGGATGCATGACGTCATTTCTTTTAGCTCTCATTGGACAGAGTTCGTTTGAACAATAAAAAAGGGTCGAGTCTTTCTTGTGCATGTGATGTGTGCTCCCCGAATGAACGTGCACCGACTGGTGTAGCCCAAGACCCACAAGGGTGCACCCTCGTATTTAGGCTAGAAATATGTCCGCCGAGCTTTATTAATAAAAGTTATTAGAGGGTCCTGAGAGCCATGGAACTGGAGAATTGAAGAAATCTGAGACTGAACCTCTGGGCCGGACTCGGGGGCTTCCAATTCTGAGCAATTTGGATGCAATCGGGCCCGAAAGTGGCACTATTTGCGCCATTTTGCAGAGGGATGGTTTTTCAAAATGGCTACTTTTCTGGACAGGGAAATTTTCTTCATTTTAGGGGTGGTCTGCTTCTGGTGAAAATTTCTCAAAAATTCATTGGTCAACCCCCCCTCCGAAAATTGAAAGGAAAATGAAAGGGGACATGTGGAACATCATTTTTCTGTGCACAGCCTGAACACCTGTGAGAGTTGTATTTTTAAATATTTGTGAAGTATGGGGATTCATCACTGCTGTCTGTGGGAATTTATTTATAGGGGTGCACCCCCAATACTCAGATCAGGCAGGACTCCCAAGCTTCACAAGAGTTTGCGGACAGGGATTGGCCAATAGCAGCCCCATGTGAGGTCGGCGGGGACGAAGGCCGCGGAATTTCATCCCGTTTCTTCCCTTAATTGACACCTGGTGAAAGCTTCGTATCTGTCCACGATGATCACACACAAATTTCAGGCAGACCCCCCCCACGCCCAATAGGCAATGGTGTTCAAGTATAAAAGAAAGTCGACTGTAAAGCTCCAAACTTAACAGTTTGAAGAAATTTACCGGCAATGAGTCTTGTTTTACAATTCAGCAACAATTATGTTTTAGAACATTACGTCCGGCCCACCTCGAAGCAGATGTTTTCCATTGTCGGTAGAACTGGTGCGGGCACGTTTTATGACCAAATTTTTCTTTTGTATTCATTTTTCCCCTGCCGCAAGCGCGGGTGCCTATTTGTGACCTTCATTTTGGTAACCATTCATTAATTTTTATTTTCCTGAGAACCGAGTTTCCGTCTCTTCTTGTCTCCAGTACAGAGACATCGTTGCGTGCCAGGGATATTGCATGTCCATGCCAGGACTCTGCATATTCATAGATTTTCCACGCTGCCTAACTCCTAGGCCCACCCCTTCTCAACCCCCCCCCACCCCACCCCACACACACTAAAACTCCTGCACGTTGTGGGGACATACACTCGACATTTCACCTATTTTGTGGGGGACCGAAATCGTTGTGGGGACTCAGAAATGTCCCCACAACTCGGTTCAAATTTCCTTAACAAAAGAATTTGTCCCCTGAACGCGCATACATGTACACATACACACAAATGCCATTTTGTTAAGGATTTCGGATTTTAAGTTTCCAAAATTTCCACAGATCTTCCCGACAATGATTTGCCAGCATACCAGTGCCGGAGAGCTCCTTCCAAACCTGCATTTTTGTTATTTTGTTTTAAAAAAAAATCACATGCACATTTCCACCGTTTGCGGAAAACAGAGGCATTTTTAACTGAGTTTAGAGCGCTGTGACCCATAGTGGTTAGGGTTAATGTTACTCCCAATCATAGGGTCGGGGGTTCCAATGAAGTAGCTGGTTAACGGTTGCGATCGTGGGCAAGTCACTTTAACCCCTGTACGCGCCTCCCCTAGGCCTGGCCCAGCACAAATGTGAAGCAGACTCGGTCACTGTGCTTAGCCGTTTGTGCCTGACAGGTTGAAGTGACAGAAACGACGAGAGATATCCCGCGGCCCGTCACACGGCTGAGATGCTTACAGGGATGTCAAGATGTTACCTAGGGCCAGTTTCATAGTGCTGCTTCAGCCAAAAATTTGTTTAAGCGTGAAAAAAAAACCTTGCTTGACAAATCAGGCTACCAACCAAAACTTCTTGTGATGTATATTGTTTTGGAACGCTATTTAACTGTCTTTTTATTAGCATGACAATCACACAGAGTGTGCGTGATTTGGGTTAGCACTGCGGTGCGCTCCCATTAGCTGAGGAAGCATTCAATGCGCATCTCATCTGTACCGACATGCGCAATGCGCGAGGACACCGCAGTAATGGCTCCTGATCCTCGTCATCGATTCGGTCTACAGAGTTTTTAAAAAGTCTGTTAAATTACTGCTGTCAATTGGCATTACAGAAGGTGTACCTACACGAAATGGTAACCCGTTCGTACGAAATAGTAATTCGTACGTACGAATTAAGTTTTTTCTTACCATATCCTAAATACACTTCCATACAAATCTCCTGTTAGTAAACTGAGAAAGGTCGACAGTAGAACGTCCTGTCCCAAAACAGTTACTTCTGTAACAGACATTTTAAAAACTTTATACTGATGTTGTTGCGGTAAACATTAGAACATATGCGGAGATGTTCGAATATTAAAAATAACACTTCTCAGAATCCGATGGAAATTCCTCAGCTTAGCTTTATCCATCTCCTTGTGGAGCAATGTCATAATGAAATCAAATTTATTCGGCACTACAGATCGAAGACCTGATTAAGTCGAGAAGGCAACAGAAATATGGTTTCATACCATGGATGCGCGCACTTCTCGTGTCTAATTGAGTAAAACATTTCCACGAGGGGCTAAATATTCTGCAGGTTTCCCCTTTTGATAATGAAATAACAAACGTTGCTGCATGCAGAGTTCAATTAAAATGGTGAACAGAGCTGTGGGTCAGAGTGCAAACTTTGCACATTTCATTTGCCCGGAGTATACTAGATTTTGGAAACCTTTCGTTACGCAGGCGGTTTTAACAAAACAATATGAAGTTGTTACGTGAATCGCGAATCGACGCATGGAGAGCAGGCATAAACAGGCATCGGCATTAAAAGCTTTCATATATCACCGAACAAACAGGCAAGAGTCTAAAGCGATTTCAGAAATATCAGAAGTCGTCGCAATAAGAAAATACGTTCTGCCTCTTACGCCCTACAGTGACCGTCAGTAATAATAAAAAAAGGGCCAAGAATCGTTCAATAAGTATTACAAAATTTCACTCTGCTGTCAAAACACCAGACAATAAAACTTCTGCTAATAGTAACTAAATAATAACACGGCCTTCTGAGCAAAATGTACATGTTGAGGTGAAATCTGACACCGAGCTGGCGTTATTCTGCGAACTTTGGCCACCCGCGCGTGCGACTAGTGGATGGTGCAGGTGAAGCGGCCTGCACCGAGTGCAGTAGTCTGCCAGGCCGAGACTGTTTTTTGGATCGGCCGAAACTTTTGCTTCGTCTGACATGTACGCAAGTGAAGATGTAACAAAATTGCACCTCACCTCGTCGAAGCGGGCTCTCGTCCAGGGCTGCATGGTCCCCGTTCGCATCAGTCCACACCACCAGTTTGGTTCCAATCCTTTCATGCTGACGCGCAGCGGGCCGATTAGCGACGACGGTGACTGCAGACGTAGTCAAGTTCCACTCAGTCGAGCTCCACGCTCTGTGCTGGCCGTCTAGTTCGAAACTCACTGGTAAACAGTCGCACGCGCTCTCCCCCTGTATTTACTCCACAGATGGTAGGCCTCCGGTTCGTCGTCACCAGAGATAATCATATGCAAAGCTCTCAAATAATCACCCGAAATGAAAGCCTGTTTACCTAATTCTGCTCTTAAGGACTGAGCAATATAACCGAGCCAAGCATGATGTGTATCGTTTTTAAAATTATTTTTTTCCGCAAAGGAAATCCTTTTAACGTACGTTTGTATTTTGTTTTTCTGTGCGCGGATCAGGTAGAGCGCCAACGCATGGTATCAATGAAGGTAAGTGCGGTTGTGGTTTTCCGGTAGCACCATCCGGAGTAAATGGGAAACAGGCCGGCAACAGTATAATGTTGAATCACGAATGAACCCTCGGAAGCAAAAAAAGGGAAAGTAGTGTGTATGACTCACTCACTTTTCTCAGCGTACTTGACTTGTGTGTCTTTAAGTACGGGTCATTGTTACATAGCACCTTTCAAGGAATAGACGGAAGTCATAAGAACAAGGGGGGGGGGGCATTTTTGCTCCAGGTAATGCATTTGACATTGGAACTTAGTGGGAGCACGAACCTAACATTCGACATGAAAATCGTGACAAGCAATCGCATCAGGAACTTTATTTTGTTTGCCAGTGAAAAGGAAGTCAAATGTGTTCCGTTCGGCTCTTTGGCATTATTCACGGAAGGCCTAATTAGATCATGCTGAATTTTTCACCCTTAGTAATGACTCATTCGTGTATATGCCATGGAGTTGTAAATAAGTTACTATCGAAACAAACAAGCGAACGAATTAAAAAAACAAAGAATAAAGAACAGGCGTGAAAAAGTGCAGTGACACAGAATTTCAACTACTCGGGGGCAGACCTCAATAAGCGTGTAAGGGGAAGGACGGGCAAGCGTGATGCTACGGCGAGAACGTAGAAATGGCTGGCGGTCGGGGAGGCGGAGGGAAGGACAGCCAGACGTGTGGCCCGTAAACTACTGACGAGAGAGCAGGCCGGCGCCGGGGTGAAGCGATGGACTGGAGGTCACTTGCCTAGCCTCCGTGATGTGGGCACGTCAAAAAGGACGAAGGAACGGGCAGGCATATACGGGCGGTGGGCACACGCAGGGGGCGGCAGCCTTGAAGTCGTCTGTCTCTACGGCGGTGAGAGATGATGTGAGTGGCGGCGCTTGATTGAGGGGGAAAAACAGCCAATTATCGACGAAATTGTGTGACTGTTGCAGGTACTCGGGAATATTTGGCGGGGGTTGGGGTGGGGAGCTCTCTGTCAAGGTGGTTTCCCTTCCTGGATCAGACCCTAAATCTAACCCCAGAACTGTGGGGTTCGATGTCCCACGAACGCACGATCCCACAAACGTTCGTGAGAGCGCGACGGTTCTTGGGGTACCCCTACACTGTACTGGGGCTCTCATCCGGGTCACCTGTTTATTCATGAATTGCACTTTTGGAGAAGGCAAAGATACATCCCTTTGTTTCACTTTTGAACTGCACAACCATTGATAAGTAACCACTGGCCACACGGATCATCACCACGCAAACAGGATAGCTGTTTATGTCGCACCGCCGTCACGCAATGCAGTTCGCCAATGCCACTCCGCGGTTGTGTCTGCATCACGCAGGCGCTAGTATCATCATCACCCTCAGTGCCTTACATCACCAGCCCCAAACTTGCGCCCACTGGTCCAAGCTCCACGATTGCAGTCCAAGTTCAAAAATAGCGACTCGGGTGCCCACACTGTCGCACATCCGTGCGGTCAACCCGTCACCGGAATCACCGTGCTTTGACCGGAACCTGACTGATAATCCTAAGTATAGAAAACGCTAGCACGCGATTAGTCGGCGGAGGGTGAAACCCTGTCAACATCTTGTGGGATTACTCAGAAGTATGTGTCACTGTCGACGTCAGACACAACCCGAGCATACATATTGTTTGATGTATTAGGTAGAGTCACTGTTGCTGCAGTATGTTGATCGAAACTGCGGGTTCACTTTACAAAGAATTAACCACAACGACAATGTAATTTTCCTATCATAAACATTTTGTTTGTTTTTCAGTCGTCATCCGTCTAATCGTTCATGTTCGTTTTAGAAGCTCCTAAATTATGAGCCATAGGCATCTAACAAAAGAAAACTAACACAGAAATAAAATGGGTTTTCCCTTTCACCTCGTGTCTACGAAATCATTTCGTGCACTCAAAATACTTTTTAGTGCGCACGTGAAAATCATTTCGAGCGCACAAAATAAAGTCTTTTGCGTGCTCAAAATAAGTTCCGCTCGAAATAATCACTAATGAGCAGCAAGTTAGGAATGAGAATCGATAAAGGACGCTTTCCCAGGTCAATTGAAAATTTCCTTTTTCTTACACCGTTATGCAATTTTTTTTTGCATTCGAACGTTTGGGCTTACCTTGATAATGTGTGTTTTATCGAAAAAACCACTCTCAATATTACTGATAATGGACGACTATTTTCAGTGTACAAAACTGCTTATGTCAAGTGCACGAAACGATTTCCAGTACACAAAATACCAGTGATGTAGTCGAGTACTTTTTGAGAACCAAGTTCTCTACCAAACATTTAACTAGTTAGGAGGGAACAAAGCTGAAGTACATCGGCAGTTGATGGTACATTCATAAAGGTAAGATTACAAAGCAACATAATGACTTCAGACCATCACTGTTTGATTAAAATTAACTTTTTACGACAAAAGTATTCGGAAAGTACTCGGCCGAGTACTTTTCTCCTTAAAACTTAAATTTTACACAACTGGGCGTGTCTGAACATTTATTTTGTAATCTCACCTTTGCACATTTACCATCAAATGCCTGTGCACTCTGGCCTTATTCCCTCTTACCCAGTTCAGTATTTTGCAGAGAACATTGTTACTCGGAAAGTACTCGACTACAACACTGCAAAATACCTTATTTCAAATGCTGAAAAGGATATTGAGCAGACGACGTAGGCTTACTAGTCTTCACTTCGAGTGTACAAAGTAAAGTACTGCGAGCGCTTGAAATAAGTTACTTCAAGTGCATGGAATTATTTCGTGAGCACTAAATGATCTCGGGCACACGAAATGAAGAACTCAATTCATTTTTGTGTTACGAGTTTGTTTTCATCAATTTGTCCCTTTAGAAGCTCCGTATACGTGACCGCAGGCGAAGGGCGCATGAAATAAATTCACGTGACACGTTCCATCTTGCAATAGAAAGTATAAGTACACACAAATGGGAAAAGGCAGCTGCATTTATTTATTGGATTAAGGGAGCAGAAAGTTTCAAACCAAACTAGACCTTTTGACGGTGCCAATTAAACTTTGTTATCCGAGCTTAGGAACTAAATTTGTTAATTTTATTTTTGTGTCGCGCATTATCTAGCAGAAGTCAAGGTCTAAAAACAGTTGTTAAAGCTCCGTGTCAACTAATACATTGTGGCTTTTGTAATGTAATACCAGACCTCCCTAAATTTACAAGAGCTCCGAGGACAGCGCTGAAAGTTGTTGGCTGGCGAACAGATCTTGACGTCGCACACCGCACACCTGCAAAACGGAAAGTCAATTATTTATATGACGTCATTTTGTAAACGCTCTCAGCTCCCAAGGAAACAGGTGCCTCATGGTGCTGTATAACTCCGCTTTACAAAACAAAGGTCTGAGCTACTTGGTACCGTTGTAACATCATTCGAATTCCGAAAATGTATCAGAGGTAACAGAAACATAATCTGAATAATTAAAGATATTGTTTTGATACTCCAGCAAGGAAAAGAAAGTACCAATGTATTTCTATGTCAACCCTCAAAAGCCTGATTACCGAGTACACACTCTTGTATTTCTTCGCAGAACGGAACTATTCAACATGGGTGCCGGGTGCAGTCACGGTAAGACCTGAATTGATGTTGTAAACATCGACAAAATCAATGGATTTAACACATTTGCCAAATAATGTTCGCAATAGCGGGTACGTGGTATGGTAGAGAAGAGGTATAGATATTATGGAGCAGAATGCTAAATTTGCGAACCAAGAGAGCGAGCTAAATTGCATTGTGCAATGAGTTCCAACTTAGTTCTGCCAATAATGGCATGTCTGCCTATACCCCTAGAACTGTGGGGTCCGCGACCCGACGTCCACCCCGGGAGCGGGTCCGACGTCGGACCCACAATTCTGGGGGTAGTCTGCTTATACGGTAGGCCCCTTGGCTTAACAATGAATTTAGCGTCGGAATGTTAAAAAAACGCGATATGGACATCCTGAGGCTTCACCCTGTTGGCAACCTAGCTAGCTGGCTTGGAAGTGAAACCTCAGTCATTCCACGGTGAAATTTCCACATAGGCCCTAGGCCTACATGTGTCTGCCATATTAACGTTAAGTATTTCTTGTCATAGGTTTTAGGCCCAAGCTAACAACACATGACGTTTAAACTTAAAGCAGTGGCTATTTTTCACGGTAACTGTAACGCGACTTTGATATTCTATAGTTATGGTAATGAATCTGCACCAGCGTGATGACATGGTTAATCCATGGAGGTAGAATGGTTAATCATCCCTGGTGAAGTTATCGAGATCGATTAAACCGCACTCACATGCACCATGTGCATTGCACACACTACACGCTCAGCATGCCGCACGACATATAGAGAATACACGTTTAACATGTACTTCGGCCTTTCTTGCATTGAAGCACATTTTAGATATGGCACACTCAATTGTACCGGTAGGTCATGCTATTTAGCGTCAACAAGCATTAACGTGCCAACAAGTTATTCCTGCATATTTATGCCAAGATTTTTAATTCACAATAGTAATTAGGCCCCTACACATCATATTCAGTTTATCGTATCTATCAGAAATGATATTTGTTTGTCGAAATTTGAGTGATAAGTCATTTCTTTCTCCCGTGCAAGGTGAAAGGACCTCCAATGTATCTCCCCATAGCCCTTTGATTACCTTTCTAAATGTGTCTATAAACAATAAAATAAATTAATCAAATTATAGACAAATGATGTCATTAAGTGGCTATGCAAAACAGATTTTGATCGGATCCTTATTGTGTATATATAAGGCAAGTCTGGCAACTGCCGATTTCATGAACTGTCGACTGCGTATACCTTTCATTATGCTGCTTGATCATTTAAAACTTGAATTGTATGACCATTGACAGCCTTTTTGTTTTAATGATTTTTTTTGCGCTAATAAGGAACTTTTTGGTGGGGAGATTTGACTTCAATTTCATGGCCAAAGCTTCCATCTCCCAAACATAATACCCCTTTTTGGTCGTTCAAACCAAAAAATGGTAAACGTTGCGAGTTTTGAGTCATGCCTGACTGTGAGCATTCCGAAGCCCCGGCGAATGCATGTATTTCCCCATTCAACTCTGCGTCTTGCACGTTCCAAATCACAGGTGACCACACGCCCTGCACCAGTACAACTCTGACGGCAGCCTGATGGATTAAAGTTTTGCCGGTCATGTGTATCAAACAAGACAGTCGTCGTGCTTGTGTAGTTAAAATGCCATAACCAGTTAATAACTGATATCATTTTGCCCCTTCTTTGATGAAATAGACTTGGCCGTTCAAGGCTTTGGCGATGTACCCAGCTTTAAAATTGTACTTGTTGGTAAGTGGAGAATCATAAACAGGACATTTGCAGTTGATTTTAAGACCAAATTAGTGGAGCTAATTGTAATCTTAACGTCACATGAAAGTGGAATTTCCAAGACAAGAACATGTGTTGTTTGAACAGACGTATCCCAGTGTTATTCAGCAAGTTCTTTTCAATTTACTCTCCTGATCCAGGTGACCCTGAGGTTGGGAAAAGCAGTGTGTTTATGCGCTACTTCAAGAACCAGTTTGATTACAGTTACAGGACTACCACTTCAGTCAGCATCGGTGAGTGGCTAGCTGAGGCTGGGCCCTAAACTTGTTGGTATGGCTTGTAGGTGATACGTGCTCCCATGCCTGTCAATGGCATGCGGTTGCAGCTTCGGCCGTAGACGTTTGTGTCATACGAAGTGCTGCTGCTGGCTTTGACTGTGAGGGACGTGCTGGCCTGCCCGTGGCAAGCAGATTACGTGGCTTTGCTAGGCGCGCGTGCTTCTTCCATCCGCAGTCGAGCGTTTCAGATGCAGCTATGCACTCAATCGCTTGCACCTCGTAATCACAGGTTTATGGGCCCAATTGCTCAATCTAGATAAATTCCCTGTGGACTACTGAAGGTATGTTTCAGACATGTTTCTGGAATGTTTCATCAGACGTTCCTGATGGCCCTCTTCAACGGCAAAGCTTCGTGCTGGGTTTTGTGTGGAGCGAATGGCTTACCACCATTTAGGGGGGGGGGGATGTCATTGCCAACCACCAAGGATAGCCTTACCAAGGCGACCGGATTTATATCAGCGGAGTTTAACAGAATTATTTCCAAGCAAAGAAGCGGGAAGACATTTTTATTGAGGCACAGGGAATTGTTTGGAGCCAGTTGTGCACTGTCTTAAACTTGTTTGATGACATCCGGCTTCGACTCGCTCTCATGCAGAGAATGTCGTGAAAAAATTGAATGTCCCCGAGCACATCGTCGTTTCGGTGACCATCTGGGACTTGCCCGGCAGAGAGGAGGTGGACCTTCGCAAGAGTTACTACCAAGATGTGGACGCTGCCATAGGTGCGTACGTGTACATCCATCTCGAAAATCCTGTCATTTTTCACAGGAACGTACCCAGAGTGCCTTGTCACTTTAATTCGGTCAACAGTGCTATGTCCTTGAAAGCCCAAAGAGACGAGAGTGAAATGTGTCACAAATTCTAATTATTTCTAGTGAGAATATTGTTGATTAGGTTCTTCCGAGGCACCAAATTTGCATGGCGTAATCTTGAACCACCTCCCTTCTCGTTCCCTCTCTGACTCCATGCCAGTATCTCGTAAGTCCATTTTCAAATCAAGGATTTAAGACAGCTCAAAGCCGTGGGTGTGGAACTTAGAAAAGCTGCAGTGTGCGTTTTGCCATAACCCACACCCAAAAGTCAAAAGGCACCGTCGAGTTGGGAAGAGGCTGTTGTCGTGGGACAGTCTCACCAGGAAAAATGTGAAGTCTGTCATCACTTTTTTTCTTACATCATAAAGAGAGAGAGAAAAGGTGCTTACATTTTCTTGTTCTTTCTGTTGGGAATAGGCCCATGTGGAATGTGTATACTAAACCGTGGATATTATATGTATTTGTTACCAAGGATTGCTATTAAGGTAAATTCGTGAGTTGGAAATAATGATACCTATCCAATCAGAGCGACATGACAGATCTACTTCACTCTGAAGTGAAAACGTCATTTTCGTTCATCCTCTCGCATGTGCAGTTGTTGTAAATATCGCCGACAAGGAGAGCATTGAGCTGGCTGGAACATGGCGGCAGGACATCCACAATCATGCCGTTGTCTCAACCAAGAGGCTGGAGAAGAGTGGAAAGGGATCAAAGGTTGTCACGGAATACAAGAAGGCTGACCCAACACAGTTGCCAGTGCTGCTGCTTGGAAATAAATATGATATTGTAAGAGACTGAGCATCTGCTTATTACGTGGCGATTTTTCAGTGATATCAGCAGCACCAGAAATCAATTTATCACTTAATATTACGCCCACAGTTATTTTATATTATTTCAATCCCGAGGTCTATCTCGTCTTCATACTCGAACCCTAAATGCTCAGCAATAACTCACGGTTCTGTCGCTTGAGTCTTGAATCCAATGCAAACAATAATGATCACACAGTTCATTCCAGATCTACCAGAGCAATGAATGTATTTAATAAAACGATTTCTCAAACGAACATCTTGTTAGTGAAAATACTACAATTTGGCTCTCATAGTTGTTTGATCCAGGTTGACCTACGTTTACTCAGGCTTTTGTTTTGGATTAGGTAAAAGACAGTTTCAGATTATCAAAACACTCCATTCTTCGCCTGTCTCGCACGTGTAAAAAGATCGCCCCATAATCCTTTGCGGTAGCATGTGTGATATCCTAAGGCGTTTAGCTTAGAATGAGAGAGTGAGACATACACGCTGTTTTGGGTGGCTGTACTGCAGTCACGTGGAGTGCGTGACCCTTGACCTTTAATGCTTTCCAAAGTATGGACATGTTTTAAGAATACTACAGCATGCTCCCTATGCGAATCTCACTGCTGAGAGTGCAAGGTATCTAAGGTCACATGCAAATGTACAATGTAAACAAAACAACGGTTACAATTAGCATATAAGAGTACATGTATGAGATCTTGGGAACTACACTGAAGTTTTCATTTAATTCACTGAGTCAGTCAGTCTGTTTCAGAAGCACAGATTCTCGTGGCTATTGTGTGTCAGTTCAAAGTTTCATGATATTCTTTTCAAGGTGCAAAGTGCCCACTGAACTAATTGCCACCGCTCTTGCACACGCTCTCTTGAAAGAGAGTAGTAGGGGTGTATGCCCTAACTGTTTCTCCTTAACTACAGAGAATGTCATCTAAAACGGGTGGTTGTGAAGTTTTAGTGAGCTAATGTAATAGTTAAAGAGCAGGGTCATCGGAGAACGGAGCACGTGACCTTAAACAGGTTCAGCGCATACAAGTCATGGAACAGTTTTGCTGATAGGGCCAATCTTACCTGGACGTTTTGCTTTCCTCAAGTGACCGCAGACGAGATTCAAATTGGGCGTGCGCTGTTGGAATACCACGTTTGCTCATTAAAAAAAATGTAAGATTGTGTCACTCCGTAGATAGAGGAGCGAGAAGCTCTGAGGGAGGCCTCGGACGAAGGTGAAAAGAATCAGGAACATGACGAGCCATTAGAGGAGGAAAGCGACACTAAGCAAGCTCGGTTCATCCTCGACAGCGACCAGAGGGATGCCGGAAAAAAAGCATCCCAGATGGAAGGCTTGGAGGAAGAAAAAAAAGATGCAGAGAAAGAGTACGTCGGCAGAGACGATTCCCCAGTGACGAGGAGCAAGGCGAGGGGGGACGAAGAGCAGGAGGTGACCGTCTGGAAGTACGAGGATGAGCACGAGCCGGAAGTGGAGCTACCGGAGGAGGTGCAGGTCCTGGAGGCAGCGGCAGAGCAGCACGGCTTTGTGGGAAGGTGAGAAGACTGCTGGGGCATTGTTTATGGGGACTTGGATTGGTGTGGTGGCTCTTTCCTTGCCTTCCATCGCCGAGGCCTGGCTTCGAATCCCGCCTAGGTCACCATGTGTATTGGGTTTGTGATCCCTATCGAATTCCTTGAGTTTTCCCTGGAGAAATTCATCCTAGAGTTTCCTCCCATCCTTCCGCCCATTCGGGCTCCTCCCTTGGCCAGAAAAAACCCTCAGATACTTTCCTGTTCTTTGTGCTTTCCTGGGTCATTGAGGATCCAACCCCCCCGCCCATGCACTCAGCTTTACAGTATTTTTCTTCACTTTTTTTTTTGCATGTTCGCCTAAAGTAAGGAAGGTATTTCCTATCGTGAAACACCATGACATCTGTTTCACTTGTAGTTCTCTCATTCTGGTCAGTTTTCCCCAACTTGATTTTCAGTGTCGCAGTCTCGGCCAAAAACTCAGACGGAGGAGTGCACACCGCCATACAGGCCCTGGTCCGGCACCTGCTGGAGCGCAAACTCAAAGACAAAGCCTTGCAGAAGATGGAGGCCATTGAGGTCAGGCGGCACAGGAAGAAGAGGGCGAAGGTCAGGAAGCCCAACCCAGATGACTTCCAGCCACTGGACAAGACAGAAATCGAGGAGGTGAATGCTAGGATGTGTTCCATGTTGGCTTGTTCCAGTTCAGTTTAGTATGTTTTCCTTTTAAACAATTGAATTCAGGCAAATAATCGTTCAACTCTCTGTAAGGTATCAGCATCATGCAAGCTAGTGTTCAGAAAAGCTATCGATGGACTTTATTTTGTAAAACAGCTGAAATGGTGATTCTGGGTTGGTAAAGATCTCTCTCAAATGATGTCGCTTCCTAAAGACTGTCATGTGCATCGGCTTTTTTGACTTCAAATTCTTGTGACGGGCATCGGCTGCGCCGTCTTTCAAAGATAAAAGAATCAACACACACGCGACAATAGAGCATTTGCACACTGTGCGCACATGCACCTGGTGGCGTTGTTAACACACATGTCATTTGCCTACGAAGATGGCGTCCAATAAAAGAGATCTTGAGACGAACTTGAAGCCATCACTGCGGTGGCACCGCGCTATAGACAAGTGGTATGCACACCTTCAATATGTTCCCCTCCCACCAATCTGCCTCGAGCAGAAGCACCCCCTCATTGGTTGAAAAGAGCCACATTGGTCGGGATTGCTCAATTTGTTGTAAGCGCTGCGACCATATACGCGTGCACTTCACAGTCATTTGTGAACCAGGGAAGTGCAGTTGCTGCCAAAGGAGCCTGCATTGCTAGGAAAATTACGCCCTCTTTTGGTCTAGCTCGGGGCTCAAAGGATGCTGTGATTTGGCACATGCACTCCTACCTCAAGTTGAAGAATACAAGTGAGTTTGAATGCTACTGCAGCAATGGGATCTCCTCAGAGTGATCTATTCTCATGAAATTTCACAGGGTCAAAGGGTGGAATGACAATAAATTAATATCACAAGATACATTTTTTACGTACAAGTAACAAGTACATGTACATGCTTCAACTCCGTGTTTGGGAAAAATTTAGCACTTTTCTCTCTCTCTGTTTACTCTCTCTGATGTTATTCGGAGTCAAGCAGGTTTTTTTAAAGCAACTACTGAAGCTGCCCTCGCTCTCCAAAAATTTGTAAGAGTTCCTAGACTTATTCAGGTGGGACTCGAACCCGCGATCTCCTGCTGACTGGTGTGTAATCATCCTGGTTTCCCTCACCCCCCTATGCGCAGATGGACAAGCTTTTCATGCAGAGCAACCGGAGCCTGAGCCAGGTGCACGAGACTGGCCTAGCCTTCCATCAGGCTGTCCGGCAATTCAAGAAGGAGTGCCTGCGGGGAGGGGTCGTGGGAGGGCCAAAGTGCTCCGTCGAGGACTGCATCAGTGGGTTGAGAGCGGCACTAGCGGAGCAGAGCTTGGAGTTGATGGTAAGGGCGGGCAATAGGCATATGATTTGATATTATGATAACGCGTGAGTGAGTGCATGCCTGCATTTGATGCACACCTGGTTCTCTTGAGTAGTTCTGTTCTTCACTTGGTTCTCGTGAGTAGTTTTGCCCCTCACTTGGTTCTGGTGAATAATCCACACTAAGCTACATGCTGATCCGCTGCAAGTCCCCAGTTGAGCATAGTGGCTTCAGAATTGCACACAACACAAGACACAGGGAAAGAGGGACCCATCACATTGGCAGTGTTTGCCCAATGGAAAGAATTTCTGCAGGTGTTTCAAGTGTTGCACTTGAAGCATGGAGGCACAGTTACAGTGACGCAGCAGAGCACTTTGTGCCCTCACAAAGTTGTTATTTCTGTTTGCAGCCAAAAATGGACAGAACAAAATCTTCTTGTCAGTTTGGACTGTAAAGTGGATATGAATTTCCATTTCGAAACAGAAATCACTCTCTGGTCTCAATCAAGGTGTAGCAAAACTAAAAAGCCATCAGGGAAACATTTCTATCATGATGGGAACTTTAACTAGCTCTGTTTCCTGTGTGCTGTGTCATATTGGTCGCATCCATGGCGACTTGAACTTCAAGAATAGGGGGTTTGATTTTTGCTCATGTGGAGACGATAATTGACGCAAGTTTTGAAGTGTGTTTTTCACCCCGGTTCGCTTGTCTAGGCCGAAGACAAGGCTGGTTTCCTGGAGCTAGCAGTGAAGGGAGAGATCATCTACGAGGAAGAAAAATCAGAAGACATCAAGAAGATCACGGACACCTTCCAGACAGAGGTGAGGGCAACCTGTGTTAGACTTGGGATGTTTGAATTCAGGGCTAGTGTATCCTGAATTCTCGGTGCTGAGGGGTGCGTTGCATTGCGCAAGAGCGAGCCTTAGTCGAGGCCCTTTGAAAATTGACTTATGCCTGTGTACTTGGCTGCTTGAGTCTGTGTACCAGACCCCTGACAGACGCAGTATATATATATATATATATATCAATAATCATATTGTTCATTTTTAAAGTTGTCATGTCCAATTATACACATTTATTGTTACATACATTTTTCTAATCCCTGCTCACCAAATCCATAAACATTTGAACAATCATCCCAGCCACCAGGTGGCACAGAACACGATGAGCCAACCGAGCCAGTGCTTTATCACTTGTTTAAGACCTGTCGTGTGATAGGCTTTCAACCAATAGGAATGACTGTCTTGGATATTTATGATCAACATTGTCTTTATCTCCACCGTGCAATACGAGCGCCGTATGGAGAGATGTAAACATTTGAATTCTCTCCAGGTGGTGGTTGCGTGCCAGGCTGTCCTGAGGGACAACCCCACGGCCAATGCGGACCTGATCCGGATGGATGCCAAGATAACTGACAAGTGCGCCCATCTGTGGGCGCTGGCCGAGAAGGCCAAGGGGCCACTGAG